TATGAAAGTTATTTTTAGGTGGTGGTATATGGGGTATTTTTGTTTATTTTCTCCCTTGTATTTTTTGCACTGTTTGAATTTTTCCAATAGTTTTTAAAAACAATTCATTAAAATAATTTTTAAAAACCCTCTTCCTTCTATTTACTTAGCCAAAAATATATCCCAGTTTCCTATCCCCTCTATTAGATAATTAATTTCCTGAATTTGCATGCCCAAAATTCAACACCACTTTCATTTTGAATTCATTTTCAAGAACCTCCCACATAGCCAATGTGTAAAGGCAGGATATCTGTTTCTACAGCGCACACTCTTTGAAGGACCTTCTTTTGTTATTTTTCTTCTTTGCATTGTCACATCTACTTGTTTCAGAATATTGCCAAACTCTCCAGTTTCCTTTGAAAAGAGTACATCAGATGTACAATTTAGGTAACTCGGGAACACCTTGCTCAAACTAGATAGTACTTGTAACTCTTGGAAACACTTGTGGATAAAATAATCTCAGAGATTTTCTTTTGTTGTATGGGTGTCACAGTAACAAAAGGAGATGGATTAGGGAGAGATTTAGGAACTGCTGTGGTGCTGAGGCTTATAACTTCTTTACACAATTTTCCGTTTCAGGATCTGTTTCTCTTGGTGTGATGGGTACCATGAACCAATAAAATTTCCAAAGTTTTTAAGCCAAATGGTTCAGTCTCTTTACATTCCCCATGGGCCCTATAGGTCATAGACCAATAAATATATTGGGGAAGGGGTCCTAGATCAGTAACAGAAATTCAAAAATACTTGATTTTGTAAAGGGTGGAAGAATTAAGAAGAATTCATTTTTTCTCTTTGGTATTGCCCACTTGATTGTGTTTGTAATACTATTTGTGCCCTTTTTGTCCACCCATCTATCAGTATAAAAGTGAAAAAAAAGTAGAACAGTTTCCATTATTGAAAATTTCAAGATCAGAATGAATGACTACCAGGTATGCTGTAGAAGAGATACATACATTTAAAGAAAACTTGACTACAGTGACCTTTCGAGTTTCTTTCATCTTTAGACCTTGCTCTGAAGTGTACCCTCTAGACTTATAGTGGTGATGCGCCATATTGGAATAATAGGTCTTCTCTGACCACCTTCCTTACTTGGTCTTGTACCTGCATCTTCTGCGGGGCTGGCAGTTCTGAGAATTAAACAGGAAATGAAGTGGGTGGGAGAGTGTTCCCAGGAGACTAGGAGCTGTCCAGCAGTCAAAGGAACTGACCACACTCTATTTAAGTCCCAGGTATTGAGACTTATGGCAGTTTGGAGCAAGAATTCAGCTATGCATACATGTTATCAGTATGTGCACATGTATATAAAAGTATATGCTTACCCAATCCCAACCAAAGGAGGTTTCTCCTGATTTCTAAATAGCCTTTCATTTAAAATTGGGTCAATGCTGTTTTTAAGTTGTGTAGGAAAAAAGAAAGTAATAATGTACAGGGCAGAGTAGAAGAGTCACAGAGGAAGGAAGGCAAAAAAAATAGGACTATTACACTGTACAAGTAGTCTTTCCTCTTAATTTCAAGATATCTAGCCCAACACACACACACGCGAATGCGTAAACAAGCTCTGTAAGTATGTGTGTTCGTCTGTAGCAGCTTCATTATTTATATCTTGCAATCAGTAATGTAATCATCATAGCACACCATTTGAAAAAAAATCAGTGTGTCAAACATTACCTCACAAATTCTTCCCAGAGTATGTAACTAAAAATATTAAAAATAAAGTTAATTCACCTTAAAAGGCTGCTTAGTCTTTTTCCCTTTGCAGGTGGCAGATGTATTCACTTCGGTGAATGCCCACTTGATTGAGGTGCTGAAGAATATCACCTCAAAAATAATTGTTTATAAGCTGGCTGGATACCTAGTCCTCTTTTTTAAAAGGTATTTTCTTTTGAAAGGAGAAGTCAGTGTTTCCACAGATATCCTGGATTTCAGATGAAAAGATTTGGGGGAAACATCTCAGCCAGCTCCCATGTGCGAGGCAGTTAAATAGTAATCCAAATTTGTAGATTGAGCAACTAAAGTATAGAGGCTAATTGCTCCATAGTAATTTTTAATAATTTGAAAATTTACTAAGTAACACATATGCATTGTAGAAAATTTGAGGAATACAAAAATACCTTCCAAAGAGAAAATCAAAACCATTCTGCATAACCGTTGTTAACAACCTGGTGTCTAGCCCCCTAAATATATATATATGTGATCACATATATATTTCATGCTCACTATTTCTTCGAGATGAGAAAAAAGGGGCAAAACCAAACAGCTGTTGCTCCATCTTGTCCAAACCTGGAATCACTGTCCACATACTTTAACCACCTTCTTTAAGTGTCTCCTCTATCCTAGGACTCAATCTGACAATCAGCTGTAAATGAGGTGCCAGATTTCCTATTTAGAAAATAGCACCAGGGTTGTAGGCAATTCTTTACCTTTCTCTTCATGAATAGAGACCCATGAATTTTTAAAGGAGATATGATAGTGCAAAATCGACTTTATTTTTGTGTGTTCACATTGGAAGTCCCCGTGTTGACAGCTGTAAAGGCAATCACATGTTCAACAGAGCAAAGAGCCCTACGAAAGAAGAAGTTACTTCTAACTTTGAAAATCCTTTTACCCTCCATGATTTTGATGGCTTTAAATTTGTCACCTGAATTCAGTATTAACATAATCGTCTGCATTCCAGCTAATGAATGCACCTGTTTCTAAGACTTTATTTTCGCAGTTTTAATGAGCTCTTCAAAAGCATTTTCCTGGATTTACCACACTGCTAGAGCAATAGTGGCTGTAAGCAACCAACAACACATTCAGTATTTGAATAGAGTTTTGTGAAGTTGTTACACTTGAGAAGGAGTGCCTATCCATCTGTCTGGGGTGAGGGAAACGAATTGAGATGTAGCGGTGGCATTTGGAAAGAGCACTAGAGTAAGTGGGGCTGGACAAAGAAGGTTATTCCCTGCTTGGCCAAAATGTATGGGTCCCAGGCAGTGCACTTAAGTTCCCAAAATTCCAGTTTCTCATTTATATAATTGTGGTACCCATCTTCTAAAGTTGTTGAAGGGATTAGGCATCTCACCTGTTATAAATGCTTCATAATGTTAAATTGTATAACTATTATGTTTATTACTAAAAAGATAGACTTTAGATGGATCAAGCAAATTCTACTTCATTGGCTGTAAGTTTTAAGATGGTTCTTAGGTGAATAATTGCTCACTGAGGTCTATAGTAAGAAAAAGATCAAATTGATGTCTTTTAATTAAACAACCAGGAAGTTCATTTCCATGCTGAATCATACCTTACCACACAGTGAAAACTTTTTGAAAGAGAAGACATCGACCAGTTTCTAGAAGCCCAAATCCTTAATGCCATTTAGAATGTTAAAATATTATGTAGATGTTAGGATATTATGATGGTTATTTACTTTTAACATTACTTTAATACTTTTTATTATATTATAAAGTTATTTCATGCTTGTTACACTCTGATTTCAGTTACATTTTCACGCTAGTAATTTCCCTCCTTCCTTTTCCCCCATATGCTCCTCTGTATACTTTAATTTGAAAAGTAAGTGGTAATAACCCATCCAAAACTCAATTGAATGGAAAATGAAAAATAAGACAAATGTTGCTTTAAAGATACACACAGCAGATACATTACAGATCAATTGGAGGTAACACTACGGAATAAAGATGCCACAGATTTTGATACCTCTCTCACTCCCTCTCGAATAGGTAGCACAAAGGTGAGATAGCTGTTAAGGAAATAGAAAATTCTCCTATTGCTTTTTTATTTCGATAAAAGTGAGAAAACTATCCTGGCTGGGATGGAACTAATTCATTTTCCTTCTCTCCTTTATACCATTCTGACCAACAGTCTTCCTTCAGTAGCTGAAGCTATTTCATTGGTGTTTCACCCCACGTGTCACAATACTGGACAGTCACCCAGGGCAAAGGACCAGCCTGGGAATCTCCATCAACTTGTTATAGGGGTGTTTCTGCAAAGGCATTGTATTCTAGAAGCCACCCATTTGTTCTGGGCAGGCTTCTGGTAACTATTTGCATCCCCACATTTCAAAAGATCCACTTTAACCAGACTTGCATGGAGCATCTTGTCAAAAGACATTCAGTTCTACTCTGAGACCTCAGCTTTGTTACCTGAGAAAACAACCCCAAGGGAGCTCTCCTCCTGCTGGTCTTTGCCCTTTGACTGTGTTTTGCTCTGGAAGGCAAGCTGACCTCAGCAGGAGGAGGGCCTGTTGTGTATGGCCCGGCTGCTCGCAGTGTGGTCCTTAGCGGGGCAGCATCAGCATCACCTGGGAGCCAGTTAGAAACACAGAGTCTAACCAGTGCCACCCCAATAAATTCAATAAAAGGGGGAAAAAGAAGAAACCCAGAGTCTTGGGCCCACTCCAGACCCCCTGAATCTGAATCTATATCTTAACAAGACTCTCAGGTGATCTGTGTGCACATTTAGGCTTAAGATGCAGTGGTGGCAGGAATCTGCCTGAGATCTCTTTTCCTAGCAACAGACCTCACCATCTCCTGGTCCCAAGATGTATCCATCCACTTTCCACTTCTCTTTGCACAGATCTCCCTGCAGTGCTCCTGGGGAAACTATTTCTATTTGGATGAGTTCCCAGCCTGTGGGTCTTACAGGGATCTGCATTTCTATGGTTCAGGTGGTCAAACATGTGTATGGCTCAGTCTCCCACTGGCCAAACCATGCCCATTCCCCTCCAAGTCATCTTGCTTTCCTTATTCCCACAGCTGTAGTGTTACCATCTTCATAAATTATTGTGAAAGAAGAAAATCACCAAAAGAAAAAATAGTCTCTATAAACCTGCATAGTTTAGAGCTAAAGAATATGTTAAAATTTTCCATCGTGGAAATTTCCCAGCTCCTGGGCTCTTCAGATTTTTTTTTTCAGAGCTGCAAGCAAAGAATGGAAATTTCCAATTGCAGCATCTAGGGCTGCTGTTCTGCTGACTGTCTTGCTCAGCTGGGGTCATCTGCTCCTCTAAGACATCAAGGAATGCCAAGGTAGGTCTGAGAGAACACACACACTTCCTCTGCAGGAGGGAAAGAATGTCTTTGTGCTGCCTCCAAGCTGTGATGAGGAGAGGGGATGGCGAGGTGACATGCCCTGCTCCACCCACCTGAGTGGGAATTTTATTGATAGTTAGCATGATCAGCAGCTTATCCTAGCTGACATCTTTCCAGTGGCAGCTGGCTGGCAGGTCTTTTGTTTTTTAAGAAATCCCTAACGTAGGTGGAAGATGCAGAGAGAGGGGAGGAAACAACATTTGTTAAAGACTACCCTTCTAAGTACTCGACCAGGAATTTTATATATATCATTTAACTTTTATGTAACCTGCCCAAAGGTTAACTTCTGATTTTCTGCACCCCAATTTTGGAAGCTTCATTTGTTCTTTCTGATATGGCCTTGTCTTCCCCGACCCTCCCAGAAATGTGTCATCTGCAAATATCCCGAAGGTCTGTCTCCCCCTCGTCAGTGATATCAACAGCTCAGTTCCCTTTCCCTGTATTGAAGTTGAAACATGTTTTCATTCACAGCTGGTCGTGATGTCTGAGCCAACAGGCATCTAATAGTTCCCTAAATTCTGTCCTGTTCATCCCCATGCGCTGCCACCGCTACTACAGAAGCCTGATGGTGGCAGCTCCACAGAAGACCAAGTAAGTGTACAAAGGCATTGGCTTCTTACAAACAAGTCCAGGCACCCTGACTGGCTCTGGGCCAGAGGCAATGTTCTCAGACCTAGGCTGTGTGGCTTATCTGAGTGGTTTGGAAGTTTTGTTTTCATTTTTAGTGTTTTGCTTTTTTTTTTTTTAGAGTTTTGGGGGATTCTGAATGACTCGAAGGCTCAAGGGTTACCTATGTTTATGTAGCCCATGGTTCCAGGAAAAGAATAGTTAAGGAAGATTTCCGAAATCACTATTGCTCTTTATTCTTAACGTTGTTTATTAAGGCAAGTTTGGTAATAAGGAAGATATCCCAGCAATAAATTTTTAAAAATCAGCACATGGCAAGTAAGAGTATTTATTCTGTTTTTTTTTCAATTACATAGCCATAGCCATAGTTAGTTTTGTCATCTTTGAATACAGTGACCGATTTTTTTACTTTTTAATTTTATTTTTTAAATCCTCACCTGAGGATACTTATTGATTTTAGAGAGAGAGGGAGAGAAACATGGATGCGAGAGAGAAACATCAATCAGTTGTCTTCAATGTGCATCCTGACCAGGGATTAAAGCTACAGCCTAGGTATGCACCCTGACCAGGAATCGAACCCACCATCTTTTTGTGTCTGGTCAGGAGTGTCCAACTTTTCGGCGTCTTTGGGCCATGCTTGCTGGAAGAATAAGAGTTGTCTTGGGCCACACATTAAATACACAAACACTAGTGACAACAAAAAAATCTCATAATGTTTTTAAGTACTTTACAATTTTGTGTTGGGCTGTGGGTTAGACACCCCTGGTACAGGACAATACTCCAACCAACTGAGCCACCCAGTGAGGGCTACAGTGACCAGTTTTAATGCCACCTAATAATGGAAGTAGAGAAGAGTGGGAATGGTCAGCAAGAATGTCGTAGGTCTATTTAGGCTCTAGTCTCAAAGGCTAACATTTATTTAGTCATTAGTAACTCCTGTGACAAGTTTTCCTCATCCCTTAAATCTGATTCTGATTCCATGACGAAATTCATCAAGATGACATTTTTATATGGGTCTGGGTCTCATATGATATGCAATACATTCCTGACAGGCTTCTTTCCATTCCTCCTCTGCATGTGTCATTAGCTAGCGGATATTGGTCCTCTTAGTTGAAGATAATGATGATTCATATCTGTAGGGCATGCTGAATAGATGTATGGTGACTATTCCTTTGCACTTTAGACCACAGAGATGACTTTTTAAGGGAGATTTATGGTTGGAATACGTGTTTGAGATGCTGATTGATTGATTTCAGTCGTGGCTCCAATTCTCTCCCTCCCCTGTCTCCCTGACCCTTACAATGTGACTTTGCAGCTCCTCCCAAGTGAGAGTCTATTTCCCCACCTAGGCCACTGAATCTAGGCTGGCCTTTTGGCTTCTTTTGGCCACTAGACTGCATCAGAAGCAACAATGGGCCAGTTCCAAGCCTAAACCTCAAGTATATGCTTCTACTTTCTGTCTTGGAACATGTGAACAAGCCAGGCTAGCCTGCTAGAGGGTGGGTGAGAGACCATGTGGAGTGGAAATGGGCCATCCAGACCAGTCACTCCAGAGCTCACACACCAGCTGACCACAAATACATGAGCAAGCCCACCAAGATCAGCGCGGCCCAGCCCAGATCAGCAGAACCACGCAGCCAATGCACAGTCTCAAGAGAAGTAATAAATGGTAGCTATCTTAAGCCACTAACTTTTAAGGTGGCTTGTTATGAAGCAATAGGTACTAATACAGATGACTAATTCCCCACCCTCCCCCCTTTTTTCTAACTGACAGGAAGCTCAGAGTCAAATCTGAAGGCCAATCACAGAATCTGTATTCATTCATTATTCATGTTCATTGCACCCTTTATGGCTAACATATTTGCAATCTTCTCTCTTCTTGGTAGTGAATTTTTAAAAAACTAATAACCTATGATTTGCCACTTTGGTTCTAAACTACTTGTAAATCAATCCCCTGTCTTAAACATTTAGGTGGTTTTTACTTGTCATTAGATTAGAAGAGATGACTCTAGAGCAGGACTGGCAAACGTTTTCTGTAAAGAGCCAGCAAGTAAACATTAGGCTTTGCAGGCCATACAGCCTCTGTCACAGCTACTCAACTCTGCCGTCGTAGTGATAAAGCAATGCTAGACGACATATTAATAAGTGGGCATGGCGGTGTTCCAAAAAATCATAATGATAAAAATAGGTGGTGGATAGGATTTGGCCCTCAGGTCAACATTACTATGCAAAAAACATCTTCATCTTTTCTATGATCCCATCATTTTTCTTGTAATTCATCCCAATTACTTTGAAAAAAATAGGTAAACTCAGTGAATTTACTTCCTCTATCAGAAGATCAGAAGGGGCTGACCTCAGAGCAACTACCAGCATTTGTACAGGGCAAGTGTTGTACTGAACAACTTAAAATTCCCTAGCGACTTAGTCCACGACTGGGTATTTAGTTAATGCTAAAAACTGGGGTGACACAATGTCTCGTTTGTTTTGTTTCATTTCACAGACTCTAATCCCAAATACACTGTATGTCACAATGAGGATGGAGCTCCAGTTGTACTTCCCGACTCGGAGCTCCCTGAATGTATTGTGCTTTTTCACGCCTCTCTAGCTCTGCACACAATGTTCCTTCTTCCTGGAACGCACTTAGCCCTCTTCTCTTACTGGCTAACACCCACTCGCTAATCAAAACTAAGCTGAATGATACTGCCTCTTGGAAGGCTTCCCTGAGTGCACCTCCACCTCCTCACCCCCGACTTCCAGTCTGCACACTCAGTCTCGGCATTTATTTTACTAAATTAATAATTAAAATAGTTAGTAATGCTTATATGGTGCCAGGCACTACTGTGTGCCAGGCACTGTTAAATATATCATTTAAACTGAAATTTTCAGTATATTTTCCATTTTCCTAGTGCAATCACTCATTCAAAAACATTTACTGCGTTTTTATGCTAGCACAAGCTCTCAGCTCTCAGCTTGTGCTAGGCAAAAAAGAGAAATAAAACACAAGCTTATAATATAGAGTGTAAGCACACTGGGGGCACATACTGTGTCTTATTTGTCTTTATTTCTCAATACCTAGCAGTCCAGAGCAAAGATTTTAAAATTAATATTAGATGAATGAATGAATGAAAATAGCTAACACTGACATACAACATGAGCCAGGCAATATCTTATGCTCTTTCCATGTGTTAAAAAGAAACAACAGATCCAAAATGGAATCACTTGTGGTAAGCTCCACCAAGATTTAATACCTAACCTAACTGCAACTGTGGCCTCTCCCAGGAGTGGAATTTTGAAGCAGTGAATCTGGAATTTCCCAGTCAGCACTAGGTCAGGTAATCTGCCTGATAAGACCCCCTGCCTTCCCCTGAAAGAAGATGTCTTTGCCTGAAATAATTCACTCTTTTAATTTTTTGCCCCATCCCATTTCTGTCAATAAAAGCCTTCCACTTTGTACAGCAACTTGGAGCATCTTTCTACTTACTAGATGCTACCTGATTCATAAATTATTCAATAAAGTCAATTCGATCTTCACATTTACTTGGTTGATTTTTTGTTCTTTAACACATGGCTATGCTCATTAACGCCTCATAACAACTCTAGGGGGTAGCCAGTAGAATTATTGCCATTTCACACTAGGGGAATTAGATTTGGAGAATGTTTAAGTAACCTGCCCACAGCCACACAGACAGTGCGTGACAAAGCTGGTCCCAGAGTGCATGCTCATAATCACTGGATGAAATGAAAGCTGAGTGACTCAGCAGAAATCCATTGCCACTCCTGGAAAAGTACTTCAAAGGACACATCTTTGAACACATGGGTGATCCAGTGGTAATGGTGATGTGCTTGGGTTTAGGAGTCAGAACTGTGTTCAAATTTGCACTCACGTGCTCAATGTAAGATGTGATCAGTGGTGCTACCCTCACATTCACTCATAGCACAGCATGGTTGTATTCTGAACTCCAAGATGACTTCTCCCAGCACCCTCTCCTCCTTTCTGATGGGCACGCACTGGTGTTGGAGGAGCAACTCTGGCACAGCTGCCAGCATGGGACTGCTGTTTTGACTCTACCCTGGTGGCAAGCAGGGTTATACAATAGACCCATCTGTGCTGGCCTATCCAGTGGATGCTTCAGCAAATTAACATTTTTAAGAAGACTAAGTAGGAATACCCATAATGCTGCTCCTCTTTTTTTTAAGAAAAGGATTACTGCCAATCACTCACTGATGGCTTTGGAAGTCCCCAGGGGGCCTCCCAGGCAATATGCCACTCAGTGGGGAAGACACAGACAGGAAGAGACAGTGACTGGCCTTCAGCTGTCTCTGAGGACAGGCCTGCTCTGCTGAAAAAGAAAGAACAGATAGTTCCAACTGAATTTTGCTTTTGAAACAAACATGGGTTTGGGAAGTTCTAGGTCTGAACATTAGGACATCAGAAAAGAATAGTGGTCACGAAGTACTTGCAGACTGTTGACGTCACAGTCCGTCTGAGTGTAGAACAAACGTGTACATTCCCCTGCCTCCGGGCAGTTTTCTTTAAAAAAAAATTGGACTGGGCTTTTTATGCAGCTGTGAAGAACAGGGTAGAGAATATAGTCAATAATATAATAACTACGTATGGTGTCAGATAGGTACAAGACTTAATAGGGAGATCACTTCATGAGTTTTATAAACATCTCATCACTATGTTGTATGCCTGAAATTAGTGTAATATTGTATGTCAGCTGTAATTGAAAACTTTTAAAAAATGCTAATTGGAATTTTCCCCTTTACTTATTTTGCACTTAAGTGGAAAGGAGGATACAAAGAGGCGATTTGCTTGATGGCCTCCACTGAAGACCTGGAGAACATAACGAAGATGGGCCAGGGCTGGAACCAGCTCCCACAAGCTTCCTGTTCTCAGCCTGAGGCGGGACCAAGCCCAATAAGAATTTGACAGTTCAAGAATCAGCTCTTGAAAGCAATCATTTGTCACCGCAGGGCTATGCAAAATCGTACCTGCAAATACATGGTAAGGTATGAAAAGTTAGTGTCTTTCCCTTTCTCCTCTACAGGCTTTGCTCTTGGTCAATAAGTAATCATGGGACTTCTCCAGGAAAACGTTGTTGCCTGGCTGGAAGCCTTGAGACACCTTCAGCTGACCAGTATTCTTGGGCACCTACAAACATTTTTCAGAGTTCAGGTAGAATTTATAGCACCTTATTTTCCGAGTAATCCAAATATTATTGTGTTTATAGTCCATTTCATACAGTTTAACACGTAATAATTCTCGGCTTGCTTCATTATGCAAAACTTGCATTTTTCTCATGTAGATCATCAACTCGCTGAGCAGGGATCATGTCCTTACTTCTTTTGAATCCTCCACAGACTAAACAGAATGCAAAAGCACAGTACTGGGTGGTCAAAGGGAAATGACCACAGAACAGCATCTGGAGACCTGCATAGTTTCTGAGCCTCCTGCCCACTTCAGCCTGGAATAAGGCCTTCAGGAAGCAGTAAGTTTCTGATGTGCAGTTTTCTCACCTTGAATTTGCCCTATGTACCTCGTCGGCTTGTTGGGAGGATCAAAGAAGACAACATATGTGAAAGTATTTTGTAAACCAATATTTGCTAGGTACCTAAATGTAAGAAATCTTCAGAAGAGACACTTAGTAAATATCCGGTTGATTTTTAATGATGTTATTATATTCCCCTTTCTTCCTTACATTCATTTCCTTTGGGGGTTTTATTTCCCAGGATTTAATTTGATCTGAGTGGCACAGCCATTCCACATCTTCCTGATACTGTGTGACATATTCCCTAGTGCACTTTACCCCACAGTACCTTAAAATTGCATTGAAATCTAAGCAAGCCAACAAGAGTCACAAAGCAAGCCGTGGTCACATCTGTCATACGAAGACAAGTGCGTGAGATCAATGCATTTGTCATTCACTGGCAGGGGTGTCCAACCTTTTGGCATCTCTGCGCCACACTGGAAGAAGAGTTGTCTTGGACCACACATTAAATACAGGGAGACACGTAATCACAGGGACATCTCATAATGTTTTAAGTAACTCTACTATTTTGTGTGGAGCCACATTCATATATGGCCACCCCGGGGCGCGTGTCACCCATGGACTGCAGGTTGGACACCCCAGCACTGGAGTTTCAGAGCCTTTCTCGTGTGGTGTCAACCCAATCAAATTGTAGCCTAGGCCAGGATTATGCATATTTCTAAATTCCAGCACATATTTGATACTTGAGAGCAGTAGATCATTGCTCTAAGCCCAAGCCAGCTGAGAAGAGAATGAAAAACATGGCACCTTAAGTGGAAAATTTTACAAAGAGATGACACTCTGACACAGGCTTTTAGAATGATTCATCTATTTATAGTCCTCATTTTCTTTGTTTAAAAAATTGTTGTTCAAGTACAGTTGTCTCCATTTTCCCCCAGCAATCCCCCCTGCCCCACCCATTTTTGCCTCCCACCCTCAATCCCACCCCCCTTTAACTTCGTCCATGTGTCCTTTATACGTGTTCTTGGATAAACTTATTTTCTATTTGTTCTTAGCAATGAAGACAGTCTCTCTGTAGTAACAGAATTCTATATGATATATTGGGAAAATAATTCAAACATGGTTCTTCCTCAGAAAACTTCTGGAGGATATAGAGTTTAATCTCAGATTTTTGTTTTTTCTCATTTAACTAGAGAGAAAAAATGGAGACACTAAGAGATAAAATAAGTTCTCTATTCTAGGGATCGGCTTATATAGATTTCTGATTCCCTGTCTAATACTCTAAATCGAAATAACACAATAGTAAAAATAACTGGAGAATTGATGACTTGTTTCAGGTAACAACTGTCATCTCTTTTTAAAAATTTTTTTAATTCAATTTTTATTTTTATTGTTGACACTATTACAGATGTCTCCCATTCCCCTCCTTTGCCCCCTCTTACTGAAAATTTTCAATTTTAGCATTTTCAATTAATTCATGAAAGCTACGTGAAGCTATTTTTCCCCCAAGTTCAATGATAGAATGTCAACTGCAGCGCTCATGTACAGGGTTGAAGCATTTTGTCGACATTGTGAATCCAGGCCAGCTTTGAACTTTGTTGATGAACATATTAATGATGCTGTTTTTATGTGACAAAAAAAGAGGAATTTCTTTTTCAATCCAACACAGTTTTCTGAAACCTCATTTATTTTCTTGGTTAAGCTTTATATTATGGAAAGTTTCAAATACTTAGCCAAATAAAGAAAAAATAGTAAAAATGGATCCAGATTCCTTTCTTTTTAATTTTTAAAAATTATTGACATGACTTCAGGTGACCCCTATCACTCCCCCAACTTCTATCTTAATGAACTTGTCATCCAGCTTCAACATATGTTGTGAAGCTTCATTTTTTTTGAAGCTTCATTTTTAATAGATATTCATATCTATTAAAATTAAACTCATACTACATGCTAATACATTTTAATGTTCAAATCTAATAACATTCTTATTCATATATATCGTCTCCTAAAATAATTTTATTTTCACCAGATACTTTTCTTCCACACTCTCAAACCTCTCTCACTTCTCCTGGGGCTAAGTGAGGCCAGCCCCTTTCATGGTCAATGCCAGAGGCAAAATACCTAAGAAGAGGAGCAAGTGGTACATTTAAAATGTGTTAATTTATTTATTTTAAAAATTCAGGTGCGTGCCATATATTTATTTTTTTATTTTATTTTTATTTTTAATGGTTTCTTTTTTAATAGTTCCTTTTTATTGTATTTCTTCATTATCATCTATCTCTTTTATATCCTCTTATACCCCTACCCACTCCCCCTGTCCACACAATAACCACACTGATGTTCATGTCCTATTTTTTTCTCTTTTTTGATTTTAGAGGGAGCGGAAGGAAGGGAGGAAGAGAAATATCAATTGGCTGCCTTCCGAATGCACCCTGACTGGGGACTGAACCTGCACCCAGGCATGTGCTGTGACCTGGGAACTGAACCAGTGACCTTTCAGTTTGTGGGACAATGCCCAACCAGCTGAGCCATACCAGTCAGGGCGATTTAAAGTTTATTAATTATTCTCTTTCCATGACACCATGCCTTACTCTCTGTGTCTAAAACATTGCTAGAGAATAGTGCTGATGGGAAGGGAGGCACTTCCAACAAAAGAACCGATCTTTTGTCCTTTTGCCCCCTAAATATATGGCAGATGGTAGGTCCTGCAAGGGGATTACTCCATACTTGAAGCTAAAGGGAGAGAGAGCCCCAGGGACAAATATTACAGCCCAAGTGTTTCAAGGTATAGAGTTTCTTATATGTAATAGGTCCTTATTTATTTGATTTATTTTTATATATTAATATATAATAAAGAATTTTGCTGAGTACAAATAATTTGCACTACAAATTATTTGTCTTGTCTAAGATTTATCAAAATGCATATCAATTTGTAGCCAAATCATACCCAGAGGGGATCTCAAATAATAATAATTTTTTAAAAAGAAGGAAATTAGAATTACAGAGTTGGGTAGAAGTCATTTGGCTTTCACATAACTTTGGTTTCTTTTATATTGTTCCCCATGAAAAAAGAAAACAGCAGAATTCCTACCTAGATGGTAACACTTGTACCATTCACGTAATTGTAGGAGTCTTGATTGCTCTTGGGAACAAGTACACCGCTGTGGCATGAGGTGGAAGGTATAATTTGAAACCAGACAAGAGATAAAAGGCTTCTTTTAGAAACAATATAATCATGTAAATGTAAAAGTAAAAAAGAAGGCTTAATAATTTCACCAAGTAATCTAAAGCTAAATTTTATAGGCAAGTTCCTTACTAAAGTATACCACACTTTGTAGAACTCAAGCCTACTGCGGAAAAAAGGTTTTAAAACATCTTTTAAAACAAAGGCAATGGGGGTAGCAAGCACAAAATATATAGGAGTATTATTCATTATTGTTACTTGCTGTACCACCTGTGATAACTTGTTTTGCGTTTAGTAAAGGCTCAGAGAATGAACTCTTATCATCATCCACTCCTGTGTGGACTTTTCGAATCGAGGACAATAGCTCTCCTTTTTCTTCAATGGTCTAAACTCTGGGAGGTGCGGGGCAGAGGAGTGGAGGTCAGTCAGAACTGGTCTCCTTTCCACTTCTGCTTAGGAGTTTGCGGCTGTCTATGAAGGATGTGGAAGGAGGTGAGGCACACAAGCCTCCTTCATTATTGCACAGCCCAAGTGACCTTCCCTGAAGAACTCAGCTGCACTACTTCCTCGGCACATTCACAACAAATCTCTGAGAAACAGGAATCTCTGAGCTACAGGTTACTCAGGGGAAAAAAAGGTATTAATTTACTCAGGAGAAGTAATCGCTTCATAGGAAAAATTTCAACTTAACAGAGGGGAAAATAACTTTTCAAAAAGGATCAAGCCAGTAAACATAAGGAAAGGAAGAAAAAATTAAACAACAATGAAGAAGAATAATTAGTAAAAATAAAAATGGAAAGAACACTGATAAATATATCTGTTACCATTATAAATTTGAACTAATCGAACTTCCCTTTCAAAAGACAAACTGTCAGATTAGGTTAAAAAGGCAAAAAAAAAGCAAAATTAAGCTATTATAAGAAATTCACTTCCAATAAAGTGACAAATTTTGAAAACAAATGATTGGACAGATGTATGTCAGCCAAATCCAAAAGCAAGAATGGCAATGTTAGTGTCAAATTCAAGACCAAAAGTAGTAAATAAAAACAAGGAGATGGAATGATTAAAGGCATTGTGGCAGAAATTGCTAGATGCCTATGCAATGCCCATTACTCTTCACTCTTGCTAACGAAAACCTCAGTTTAATTTGGCACAGCCATGTGTCCTAATAAAAAAAATCAATTTTTCTTTTCTCTTTTACAGTCAGGGGTAGACAGTAAGTTGAAAGTGAAGTTTAGTGGCCAGGTCTAATTCAGCTAGAAGCTACTTATTTTTGCCTTTCTCTTTTTTCTCCTTTCTGACTGGAATATATATGTGATGGCTGGTGCTACAGAAGCTATGTTGCCACCACACCTTGGAGAATGTGCACTCCATAGTAAAGGTGGCAGAACAGAAAGACCAATGGGGTTTGCATTCCAGATGACCATGCAGCTACTCCACTAGCCCTGAACTTCTTACCATTAGACATCTTTTATGGTTGAAAAAAAACACATTTGTATTTATGTAAGCCACTTTTATTTGGGTATCATTTTCTATGTAGCCAGCTGAATTTCCTGTGGTACAGATATAAACATGAAAAAAATAACGTTGTCAGTACTAAAGAAATAGCACAAAAATTTAAAAAAATCAAAACCAACTAGAAAGGCAAACAGAATTGATGAACTTGACACCCATAGCATATACCTCTTTTAGAATTTGCTAGAATATGAAGGCAACTGCAAGAATATAAAGATTACAATAATATAACCTATAAGTCTATTATTATACATGCATTATATGTTATTAGTATACAGTATAAAACCCACAAATATATACCTCACCAAAAGAGAGTATACAGTCTTTTTATATGTGTATGAAAGATTACAAAGTCAGCTATATACTTAGCCACAAAAGATGAAAGCATACTGTAGTATAAGGTAATGATGGAAGCAGACAGTCTGCTTTACCCTTGCCAGCAGAGTGACCTTGGGCAAGTACCTTAAACTTCCTGGGCTTTTCCAGTTTGACATCCACATACCTAGATAAAGCTGCTAGTGCCACATGTTACTAACTCCAGGTAGAGGTGCCAGGTCATCAGGTGGCTGTCACTGTTTCACTTTGGGAGGGTCAGCAGCAGGCTAGGAGGTTAACATTTCTCCTGTTGGCCTCCACTGAAACAGTCAACAACAACCGTCTCGCGGGGAATTCAAGGGCACCAAAAGAATGTTAAATGGGTGAATTGTTACTTGCAGGAAAAGAAACAGGCTCCATGTTTCCAATTATTCTTCATTTCAGACAACAACTAGCTGTTTCCGTTGGCTGGCACAGTAGCTGAATGGGGAACACTATTGAGTAAACGCTGCTGAAGAAGGATGAATGCGGGACAGTGAATTTTTTGACACAGTCTCAGCTTTATTTCTGCCTATTGCTGGCAGGCTACCACAAGGGGCGTAAGGAAACAATTGACAAAAACTTTGTAAATAAGGCTTAAAGGACAAGATGTCTCTATAGCCCCCCAAAATATAAACTTTTTGTACCAACGAGAATCATCTGTGATGTAACACAGAACCCCTAAATTTAGCTGTTGGTTAAGAAATTTTAAAAATGCATAGATTTTTTAAAAACTCCAAAAATAAACCATTTTTAATATCACAAAAATAAAATACTGAAGTAATTAAACTTTTAAAATAAAGAAAAGATCAAGTATTTTAATATATATATACACACATGACTATTAAGAATATTATTAATTATATATTTTAATAAATTTCATATAAGCAGATTATAAATATATAGGCTATATTATAAGTTATATGTATTCACTGTTTATATTTTGATACAACTTTGATATTTTGATTAAATTAAAATTTATTTAATTTAATAGAATAAAATTAAGTAAAATAACAATTTTAATTTAATATAATGCAACAAATTTAATACAATAAACAAAATTAAATTTAATACAAGTGTTAGATATGCAAAAAATCTTAAAAGTTTTATCCATGAACTTAGAGCAAAAGCAGAAATGAACTGAAGTCAGTAAATTCCCCAACTCATTTTAGGTCACAAATTATTAATAAACTCACTCTCTGATGTTCAACTGGGAATGAACAGGATATTTGCTCCTTTGCTTTTGGGGATCTTTAACTGCATCAGCAAAGTGATATTTATGTTTTTGCATGTTTCATCTCAAATATGTTGATGTGCAAATAGATAAACTGAGGGTGGTTGTTATTATTTTTTGTCCAAAATATTTCCTTACTCTCTAGGTGTTCCTAATTTTTCTTAGCATTATCTTAGCATATCAGTTCTTCACCAATCCCTATGCCTACTTCTCGTCAAAAAGTTTTGTGCAATTGCAAAATCAGCTCCCATCTTCCTGCTTAGAACGACCTTTTCATTAACTTCTGTACTCACAAGTATCCTTTCTCAGCCTTTGCTGAAGTTCTTGTCATTCACAGAAGGTCCATCTTTTTTTCTATGTGCAGGAGAACATCAAACTCAAAAAGATTTTCTATCTTTGAGGTTTCAGACTGATTCAGATACAGTTCAAATAATGTATTGCTTCTGAAATGTATTGCTTTCTAAAATGAAATAGAGTGCCCACTTATCAGAAAAGGAGACAGGCTGGGGAGAAAAGACAGAGAATGAAGAGAAAGGAAAGAGGCAGAGAACAGACTTCCCCTGTTTAAACTGTACTAAAAGCTGAGATTCTGTGGTTTTGCAATCCTGGTGATTAGCACAATGCCATCAGGACTACGTGGTTTTTAAAAATTCAACTTGGCAGACGGTAATCCGTATTTACTGAAATGAATTGATAAAACTGGTGTTAAGAACTACATTAAAATGATTAGAAGATTTTTTGTTCTGGTCTAGATTTTATTTTAAGGATTTTTTTTAATTCCAAAATTGTCTTGCTAAAATTTGTGAGTCTGTCTAATCCTGTAAGGCACGGAATCATCTTGCATTCCTGCCTTTTCCCCACATACAGAGGTCAGATGCCTTGTGCTGCCTTCCTCTTCACGAAGGGACAAGATGTCACAGAGTGATGTTAAAGGATAAAGAAGGATTAAAAAGAACAGAGAAGGCATTCTGAGGCAAACACAACATATGAAATCGGGAATCTTTTTTTCCACATAATTTGTAAAGCTTTTTGGCTCTTTCTCATTCCCTCATATTCGTTTTGCCTTCACTGGTCAGGGAAACTCAGTTTGGCCTATTAAGAATTTCATCTGCCTCTCTGGAAAAGGGCAGGCAGAGGCGAGGGTTGGGGGGGGGTGAAGGGACAAGGGGGATTTAAAGTGTTTAAAGCTTGAAGAGGGAAAGTGAAAACTGAAAATTAAATTTAATTGTTTCTTTCTCAAACATCACTTCTGGTTATAAGACAATTTGCAATAGATAAAGATCATGTTTTTACAAACATAACTCACATCACCATTCTGGGACTCCAACGTGCCCCTCTTCCATGTTTCGGTCAGGGAAGAAATTCATCTTACCCAGAATCCAATCATTTAAAGTGAGTCACAATGCATGACTCAAGATTCAATTAGCTCCAGTATTTTTCCTCATATTATATTGTTTCCTTTGAGACTGGCTTGTAGGAGGGTTACTTCTCTACTCCCAGGTAGCTATAGCTTTTGGCTAAACTTTGTCTATTGTATGAATATGTATGCGTATGAATAAGGTACAGTATGTGC